CCTACATTTTTAAATACATCAGTAAGGGCGATCAAATAGTTGAGAGAGGATAATTGGAGCGACTCACTGTACCCAGTCTTGTCGTATGAAACTCTCTAAAGTTCAATTTTGGGGAAGGATGAGTTGCTGTTTCTGTGGGAGGACGCAAACCAGTGGTCTTATCGGCACTCTCCCATTCGACTATGCCTGCTCTGTAAAGCCGCGCGGTAATTCTGTTCATCTGTACTCTGGTCAAATACGCTCTGGTAAGCCTAAGCTTCGATGAGGTAAGGGCGCTGCCCACCCCTCCTTCCGAGTTAAATTAGCGTAACAGTTCCAATGAAAATGAAGTTCAGTGCACTTCCTAAATAAGGTATAGCTTTTCAGGTCCTTTCTATGTTGTGGATTCATGCTTAAAATCTCATGAGACTTCCGCTCAAAGTTTTTGAGAGGGAGTGAAGATTGATTAGAAGGGCAAGCGGTAGGCACGGCAAACAACACACCTGTTTGTCTGCGCTCTACCGCTAAGATAGTGATCCTTTTCTCAACAGGCTCGGCCTTAGGCTGCGTTCATGCTTCGCGACTCGAGGAAATCGCGTGTTTCGAGAGAACAAGCGTTTGAAGAGAACGAGCGAAAGCGAAAGTATAGGTATCGAACTGACGTTTCAAAAGATTCAGCGTTGTGGAAGAATCGCGTTTTCGGAGGATCGGTGTTCTGAGAGAATCGGCGCTTCGAACGCCCATCGCTACCTATACTGTCATTCTCGCGCGAAACGCTAATTCTCTGAAAACGCCGGTCCTCGCGAGTCGCAAAGTATGAAGGAGGTTTCAAAGGGCCCGAGACGACCAGAGTCGGCGCAGCTTCATTTGGCCAAATGCTGGATATTTCGAAAGATATGGTTTTTAAGCAACGTGATGCCGTACGCCAAACATGGGGTGCTCGGAATCGTTACGATTCTGTCCAAACAGTATTTGTTGTTGGCAAAACTGCTGATGATACCGTACAAATGGATGTGCAAAAGGAAATCGAGAGGCACGGTGATATTCTTTATATCGATTCGATTGATTCCTACAGAAATAACACTCGAAAGGTATAATATCTTACCGTTTCTTCATATTTTCCGTTCTAATTTTTCTGACTTTGAGCGATATTTTCCAGTTTATTCATTCTATACTCTTCGCTTTCAAACCAGGGAATGGATGTCCTTCACCAGAGTTCTTGTTCCTTGTGGACGACGACTATATGGTGAACATAGGTGGAATCCTTCGTCACTTATCTGAGGAAAACCGGTATTTTCACGTAAGTTTCCCTACAAACTACGAATTCCTAGATGATCTTTTAGGAGCGGGTCTGCTGGGATGAGAAACGGAAGTATGAAAGTGAGCGAAAGCTACCTAGCGAGTCATATACTACTGTAGAAAAGTGTTCATACTTTTCGTCAGCGTTTTGAGCGTACGACGGCATATTGAGCGTTTAGGAAAGTGTAGGCATCAATACGACGCTGCGCAGGTATGAATGCTTTCTTACAGAAGATCAGTAATAGTAAACATGCAGCTTTGACTCATTTTAGTTGCGGCTGTAGCCCAAATTAAACGGGGTGGGGTGCACAAGACAGTCGTCCGCTGAGAGCGCTGATGGGCGTGGCCGCGACGTCGCACTGGCTGATGCGTAGTTGCCGAGTCTCCCCCTCGCATTGCGTTTTGATCCGTACTTCTATCCGGAGTGATATGTCGCATAGTAGTATTCGCCTCTACGTGGAACCCACTGCTCCCATGGGCAGGACACGAACCACTGATGAGATCGCCAACTAGCCACGCGTTACGTCGCTCTACTAAGCGCGGCGTCCTGGCGGCTGTCTTGCTACCCACCACCTGTAGCTGTGCGGACAAACTTAATAGAAAAAGAGGGACCTAACTGGGGTAGTCCTTAACTGGATGCTACTGGCACTTTTACTTTTTAAGCTTTTTTTTCTCACACAATTCTTCCATCACTCCTGCGAACTTTTTATTTTTCAGTTGTATGAAGGATGGATGTTCAACACAACACCGTTCCGATTCCGTATTCATAAGCATGCCGTGAGTTCCATGTTTGACGGTTCTTTTAGTTACCCTTTTTTGTGGGGAGTAAGGTGCTTTCACCGTTGTAATCACTAAGGCATACACTGCAGTGCGCTCAAAAACTTCCTAAACCCAGCAGCTGCTTCTCTACTTTGCTGCATATGTCAACCTTGCAGTTGACCTTTCATTCGATTTCCAAACGCGTCCTATCTAATGTATAGTTTGTAACATTGCAATTTGTCGGGGGCGGCGAGCGCAGCGCGGCACGAGCTCGCGTCCGGCTGCCTTGCTCTACCAATGGTGATCGAGCAATGATCGATGTAGGAAGGAATCAGCCACTGGTGGGAAGGCCGCACGTGGAAACCATTGATTGCAACCCGACAGTCCGCAAATGATGAGGACTGTAGGTCATCCACTTTGATAAAAGCCAAGAAACCCCACTGCAGTAGAAGCCGAAAGCATTTGCCGGCTTTCAAAGCGCACGGAATGCGCCTCTAGGCGGGGTTGCCGCCTATATCCATGCGGAAATTAGCGGCATTCTGTTCGAGATCCTGCTGATAAAGGTATCCTGAACATGTACCCTTTGATCGGTAATGCCGCCATAACATCTCAGCCTGGTAGCTGTACTAAATTGTCACACAACACTGTTGCTCACTTTTATTTCGCGCTACAGTTAGTTAGGGTGAGTTTGTTTTTCCTTTTAGTAATTATCCTTGAAAACGATAGGGCGTGGAAAGGGCGTGACTTTGTGACGTAGCCACGGTGGCCTTTTTCCATCAATGATGCTATCCTGAGAACGCTGCAGTTGGAAAAGACTGCCAAGGCTGCGCCCCAAGCCACGCCCACATCACACGCCCTGTCGTTCCGCGGATCATAGCGGTTATCACTTTTTAATAGTATCACCTTGTTCAAAATTTTTGTGGGTTGAAGTGATGGAATGTGAAGAATATCTTATTATCCACGAAAGGGATGTAATGCTGCGTATTTTTTTGCTATTGCAAAAAAATAGGCGAAACGCAAATTCCATGTTGTACGGACGAATGAACCGACGTATGCAGCTCAAAAGAAAATCGAGTAAAAAAATTTCCGGCATATTATGGTTGGTCGTGTCGAAAATCCTGAGTTGCGAAACGGCGGCACTAAACACAAATTTATGTGTTTTCCTGATCGAGAGTAGTGAGGCTTTATTTCCATGCATGTTTCGGTCCCAACCTTACGAAGGAAATGTGGCCAATTACCATGGATGGGAATAAAAACAAGCCATCCACTAATGGAGGGCTAATGCCGTTTGGACTCCAAAATTTCGGCACCGAGCCCATTTTTAAATTGCCTAAGTCACCAAATCCGCTAAAAACTTGTTAGAGGTAGTTTAGCTGGCGCTAATGGATGACACTACGATTATCTGCGCTCTGCTAAGGCTGAGCCCAGGAGGTAATCGTAGTGTCCTCTCTTGGCGCCAGCGACAAGAATGTCATATTCGTAATCAGGATGTTAAACTACCCCTATATACAAGTTTTTAGCGGATTTGGTGACTTAGGCAATTTAAAAATGAGCTCGGTGCCGAAATTTCTGGAGTCCAAACGGCACTAGCCCTGATGGAGGCCCAGTTATTGTGGTAGAGTCTGGAATGGTGGTCGCAAATATGGAAACTAAATCAATAAATATTTGTAAATGGCTGCAACACCCTGGTGACGAGTTTTAACAAATCTGGGGGTTTTGCCTCCCCGCGATTCGGTTGTGATATCCAGGTTGCTCCCCATATTGATAGACAGCATTCCATACTCTATCAAAAACTAGAGTATTGTTCCCTGCGTATGCTGGGCGTGTCAGGGAAGCTGGGTTTAGCGCGGTGCCAGCCCATTTGACACCACTTATTGATGTTTTTCCTTCAGCAATTGGTGAAGAATGGGCTGGTTCCGCGCCGACCTCAGCTTTGGTGGCAGCCCCAGCATTCACAGTGAACAAGACTACGGTCCCCTTCCAAAGTTTCATGGTAAGTTGACCACTTCCCTTCGTCAGGCGGATTCAGTTACATCAGTTTGCATCTAAAGCAGGCAAGAAAGTGTTATGGAGGGCAAGCAACTTCAGAGTTCCATTCTTTCTGACATGTCAAGGATTTGCTCCTTAACAACTGGTATGTGGCGCTTCTAACCACTGTATCACATCTCGTCCACCACAGGGGGTCTTAAATCGTTACTACAAAAGGACGCAGGAAGCATTGTCAGCATAGCAGCATTGACAAGTATAAAAGCAACAGGAACTGTTCATTCAGATTTATCCATTCGATGATATCTACGCTGGAATTCTTGCACATTTGTTGCGAATCCGTCCACGGCATAATGAGGCCTTTGTATTTTGGACTCGATCTATAAATGCTGATGAGTGGAAGCATGGAAATGTCTTGGCCGCACACGGTTATTCACCTGATCAATTAATCCTCGAGTACAACGCATCGATTCATTCTGCATAGATTTTGTGGTGACATACGTCCCTTCAATATTCTTACGGGTTTTCTCCCTTTTAGGATCTATAAGAGTTTTCCATAATTTCTAAAATTTATAGCATTCATTGTATCTCGTTCACAGGTGCCATACATGTTTGTAAACACTGCTAATATAATATATTGTTGTTGATATTGGTTTAGCCCTCATTATATTTTAGTAACTATCATCTATAACCATCATCTACCGACTGAAGTGTATTGTGTTCATACTTTGCGTCAGGCGTTTTAGCGAACGGCAGCGTTTTTTGCGACTAGCCGCGAAACGTGCGAAAGGCTTGCATACGCTCAAAACGCTAGATCGTTACGTGTGCTTTCTCAGTAGATGGAAATGCTGCCGCGCGCTGGCGTAAGCTCAAAATCCTGACGCAGAGTATGAGCGCACTGTAAGCTTTATAGGTTTGCTGGCTTTGCGACTTAAAGACAGCGCCCGCGATGGACTTTGGCAGGTCTCAGGGGTCAAATTTGTTAGAACAGGTGGCCAATGAAGCACTAATCAAAAAAAGTAGGAAAAAGGTGTGGAAGAGCGTGAAATAAGACCCTACGAAATTTAAGGCATGTGGACGAGTTTCGCAGACCTTTGGTGAGTTCTCCAATACACGTCGCCGCCTCGGAACTCCAGAAACTTAGCGTTTATCAATGCCAGCAAGCACTGATAACTGTTAACCAGTCGGGGCGGGATTAACAGGGAAGGAGGCGTCAGCTCAGCCTTGTTGACTCCGCCCTCGTCAATCAATACATTTCGAGCCGCAAGAGTGGGATATCCGCTATGGTTGCGAACTCCGCGTTCGTTTTCATTGGAGGGTTTTTTCACTTTGGTTGATCGCGGACGCTGCCTTTATGAGTATTACGCCTGGCCACACTTTCTCCAGCTAAGATAATCATGAATCACCAAACCGTTCGTGAGGGTCTATTGTTGTGAACAAGATTGCATTAGTAGCTGCAGCGTCCATGATTAGCCAGTTGTAGCATGGATCTGATCGTAAGTAGACCGTGTGCAGCCGATTCTTAAATCGTTCGCGTGGCGAAGTTTGAACATGCCCTAAGACCCTCTACACTCCATGATGCGAAGATTGAATTGACTTTTAGACGGTGTGCCTTTGAATATACATCATTTGCCTTAATATGCATAGCGTTCGATAGCGAACATTGTAAGATGTCACTAGTCTCTACTAATCATGGCATTAGCGGTGGGGATTGAAAATACGTCTTGATAAGCATGTTTATTTTAGAGCTTGGACGGTTTACCAGTCCATAGGGCTACCTCCAATTAAACGCCATCATACCACGAAATCGAGTCTCTGGAGAAACATTTCTTTGGTTCATTCATGTTGCTGATTTCCTTTATTCTTGGGCAGACGGACAAGACAATCGTGATTTTTCGCGTCGTCGAGTGGCGTACCGGAAGGCTATGTGCTAGCAACTTCTCGATGTGCATGGTTTCTTCTATAGATCAAGGGAAAAAAAACTCATAAAAATGCTCTTCGCGAAACAAATTAGCAAGACCGACGCTATGTTCGAATTTTCACGTACCATTTAATACCGCAAATTCGGAGAGCACGGCAGGAGAACTCGTCTGCTGCCAGTGCAGCGTCGCTTGCCCCACGCCCACCATGATACGATTCCTTGTTCACACCGGTCTTCTTTCCAGAACATCAGGTCCAAAGGGATCATTTTCAAACAGCTGACACTTTTGCCATGTATTTTCAAGTAACGAAAGGCTGCATGTAAAGCTTTGCTCGACTACTGCGCCACGATTGTCTACCAGCGTGCGGCGGAGTGCATTCCTTCTTATAAGTGAGTGGTGTCGTTGATATTCCATGAATAAGCTAAGAAACAGTTGACACTGACATGGTCTCTAAGGCGAGGTAGGATGGAATATCGCCTGTCGGGAGATCCGGAAATTCCCTAGGCAGGCGCTGCGTAGCGTTTTTTTCCCCAAGGAAAAAAGTTATAAGGCGTTACCAAGCTGCAACCTACCGACCCGGACGCACCCTGCGCCCACGCAGACTTTAAATGGTCTGTACTTGCCCACACCTGATGCTTGAACTTTCGCTTCATTTGGAAGTAAAATAAGAAGGATAGGAGTTGATATGAAGCGGCTGCGGTGCTGCATGGATATCGGAGTGATACGTGCAGCCGTATCTACCGTAGCGGTCGTTGCAAGATGCCTACGGGAAACTCGTCCAAAATCCGCTTCTCCGACAACGAATCATTGAAGGAGACTTTCTTCTTAGACCTTGTGACACTTTCATCTTCGAGCTGTTCGTAATTTCCCCACTAACTACACCTGCTAGCATTTTAGATGGCGAGTACCAAAGCTCATCGCGGCCTATGCTTTATGATTAGCGGAATGTAGTTATTTTGCTTTTGGTAATTTATGTGGGTGTAGGTCAGCTGAAACAGAACGTGTGTGATATGATTGTGCTATAAAATTATTTCTTTGAAAACAGATATGATAAAATATTTAATGTCACTTTTCATCATCAAAATAATCAATTCGGGCGCACATACTTGAGGAATTGTTCTCACTCGAGTGTGTTTGAGCATTTTTTCGACCGTTTGCGTCGGAGTCAAGCATGAACGGTGAGCATCATGTGTAAGTGAGGTATTCTGTGAAAAGACAGCTCGTATTCCTTCGTCGAATGACCTAAAAGGTCGTTAAATTCATGGAGCCTCACAAATACATGGCTTAACTCACTGTTTCGCGACCACGTCGTGCATCGCTGTATCGACGGGACCTGGAGCGTAGTTGAACACTTTCACGGTCTGATCCTCAACTGCCAAACCACGGAAGAATGCCTCACGGGCTGCTTTTCCCACGGAATACTGTAAAAAGACTTGCATAACCTCGTCATCCGGGCAGTTGATTAGGGCGGTCGTCAACGGGCCGCAGCGCGTGCCAGGAACTATTTGCTTTTCCAGGCTAATTTAGTCATTTTTTCCACCTTGTGAAGATAAGGAGCTGCTAATCTGGGAAAAAGTAGCCAAAACAGTGAAAAGTTGGAAAAATGACTAAATTAGCCTGGAAAAAGCAAATAGTTCCTGGCACGCGCTGCGGCCCGTTGACGACCGCCCTAATCAACTGCCCGGATGACGACGAGGTATATATTAAAGTAACAACAATTCTTATAAAACTTGTGAAGCTAACGCTATTTCTGGCAGTGTACCATACTGTGGAGTGATTCAGTGGTTAGACGCGCTATCTGCCAAACGGCACCGTAGAGGGTTTAAATCCAACTCACGTCAAAAATATCCCTTCGATAGACGTTATCATTAAAGACGGCACTATTCCGCTATGGGAAGGGGGATTTCATGAAATAAAGGTACTATATTCTTGTTCGGTGCTGACACAGCGAATATATTGATTGCAAGAACACCTATAATTTCTAGTGAACCCCTTGTGAATGCAGCAAGTTCTGCGGCTGAACTGGTAGGGCGGAGACAATGGACCATTGTGCCTTTCTTGTTGCGGTCCCTCTCACCTCAAGGGTGTGTATAGCCCACTATTCTGTGGAGGAAGGGAGCTCTGCGCTTGCTTGGAAGCATCTCTTTGAGGGGTTGGTGTTTTGACAGTGTGCTTAGTTATCACTAGCTTAATCCATTGATCAAGCGCCTTTCAAGTCAAACCATCAGTCCCGAGGTTACAATGCTTTACTATGATAACCGTTGTTTTAACGTCGCAGTTGGCTTTTCGAAAGTTATCGCAGGAATGCTGAATTATGGGCAGAAGTCTTGACCCCACCCCAGCTTCAGTAGGGTAAGAGTCTGCGAAATCACATACCTGTGATTTGCATTGCTTCTACCAGTACAGGCAAGAGGACTTTGTCAACACTGGTCAGTCCGGGAGATCATTGTGGAAACAATTATCCAAAATACGATTGTTTCTATATGCGAAAAGATAGTGAGATTCATGGCGCATCCCTCTGGTGGACTAACTAACGGCGCGCACAATGGCTCTCACATGTCCGCGGCAGGAATTCGGCGATTTGCAACTACGGAAATACCTATCTGGTTGCCCCTAGACGTCCCTCCATCGACTCCCCATCTTGGAAACGAACCTAATTTCTCATTCGAGTCAAGCAATGAAAAGCACATGTCAGAAAAATGCAATAATAAGAAGCCCGAATAGCGCACTGCCATTATCTCATTTGTTCCCGGCTAATAGACCTATATTTCAGTGACAGGGCCTATTTATAGACTTCTTTGCATTACGGTGGTATCAACAGCTGTCACTAGAAAAGCAGGAAACAAGTAGAGTTAAGTGTCTGTTCAGGTGGCGGTCAACACTCAGAAAAAAAACTGACGGATAATTGCACACGAATTCACGATTCCTCCCCTCCCCTTCGGTCTGATGGATGCTTTTCTGGCTCCTAAAAATATGTACATAGTTGCATACCTGCGTTAACGACGGGAATCCTTGAATTGCGACCAGAGATGTGATATTTACAACGAATCTTTCTTTTGCAACCTGGAAAAAAATGAGTTGCAGATAATTTGGGAGGTATTTGAAGGTTAGTAGTCCGTGAGACTCTGACTCACCAGTACCTCTTTTAGTTATTGGATTCAATTAATTTGAATTGTTGAAATTGAAGCGATAGCGACGAGATTCACACTTGAGGAAGTTATGGCCAGTTGTTCCGGATTACTAACGTCTGTACTGTCGCCTTCGACACATCAGCCAACGGCTACCACAAGTATGTGGAAAGATAAGGCTGTCGAATGGACCGTTTCTGAGTAGAGAACAATGATGCTCTTTTTACGCTCAGTCTATTGATATGCGGCCAAGCACTGGACTAGGTCGCCTCAGGACCATGCGGGTTCCAGGTACGGACAACATTGGTTTTGGAGTGCTGCTAGCAAGAAAGAACTCGCCTGCGGTGCGGGGACTGAAGTGTCAGCTTTCTGCCCAACACTCTGATGAATAGAAATTTGTGTTAGACACAAGAGGAAATGAGGGGAAGGTGAGAATCACCAGAAGATGAATGGCTGATACTGTGGAAAAGGAGCTGAAGCATAGATTGGCAAAGCGTCATCTATTTCATTCCCACTAGAGAATTCCCACTAGTTCCAGAGGGGCACTGACAGAGGATGTGACCATATTCTCTGAGTCGGCTCCATAGCTCGAGACGCGCCACGTACGTGTAGTCGTCCAGTTTTTTTCTCTCCCAGCTCAGTGATGAGAGGGGTCCCACGCGTGTTGTTGAGAATGTTCTTCAAGAGATCTTCACTGGAAAGTTTCGGGAGTGTTAAGAAAGCCACGTCGATGATAGTTGAATGGTGTTTAAAAAGAAGTTGAAACATAGTCAAATAGGATTCTTTCATGGCTTTAGAAATTAAGAAACAGAGTGCACTATCCCCGCCCCTCTCCGCTCGACGGGAAAATTCAAATTTTTGGGGCGAAAGCCTGAACCTAATGGGAATTTTGGTTGGAATAGGTTGTGGGGAAAGAGGGGCGTACCGAAGACCCTAAGGGAGGCGACAAAATACATGCGGGGAGCCAACCGACGAAAAGTGCGCAATGGTTGGAGTATTCCGCCTGCAGTTCAGCGCAGAATGTGCCTTCCGAGGTGAAAGGGAAATAAAGTGCGCTCTCAGGACTTTTACCATCCTTTTGCCAACCGCGCCTTGATCCCCAACGTACTGCTTCCCATAGAAATACTGAAATGCCTTAGCACGTGTCGGTGTGGAGAGCGTTCGGTAAGAGTAGGGGAAGTCCAATTACAAAACGCCAAAATGGTCCGCTTTAGTAGATGAACCACTTTCCACTGATCGCCCCGAGAACGCCCAGGGGTCAAGTTTGACTAAACAACTAATTTCAAGTGAGCGCTGTTCTTGTAAAGATTTGAAGTTAGAAGCCCTTCGAGGCCAAAAGCGCCCACGTTGACTTACCTTTAATCTCTTCGAGAACCTCTTTGAAAGTGTTAATCGCATCGTCGTTAAATGATCCCATATCACAGACAACTATCCATACTTGAGCTTTTTCTGAGCTGAAATCATAGGCTAGACATCATGAAACTCAATTGGAAACGAAATACATCGGAACAAAGGGAATGCCAGAGTTGCGGAGGGACAAGGCGCGTGCCTAAGCTCGCCTGTCCACGCCCTCCCTTCGAGACAGTGATTCTCCACCTTCCCTTCCCAGCTCGATCAAGGTGCAGACAACAAAAGTAGACGCGGCATAGTCTCGCCGGGTGCCCCTTTCCGCAACTCCAGTAAACACCAAAAAAGTACTATACCTGTCGAGAATACCCTGCTTGATTTGTAATAAGGTAGCTTCGTTACGAGCCGTGAGTAGAAAGACTGAAATTAACCGACGGTTAGGTAATAGAACCGTACTTTTACCTGTTAACCGCTTCTTCAATGTACTTTAGGCTGTTGTAGCACATATCTCTTCAAAAAAACACAGTGAGAATCAAAAAATAGCACAACTCCAAAATGGGGTGTAAAGTTCGGAAGCGGGCGTGGCTGTAGAATCCCTTTGAGGCAGCGAAGGGCGCACCATTACCGGGACAAGTATGTTAGCAAGAGCGAGCAAACCCTCTGCTCCAGGGCAAAGGGACACCGAGGTGGGCCGAGGTGATCGAGGCATGGAATGCACCTGGTAGTCATAGAATGCCTGGCTGCAGTGGTGCAGAGGTTCAAAGTCACCTGAAGATTTGGGCACGAGAACCTCAGATTTTGGCAAGCGAAATTTTGGAAGCTCTCTAGATTATTGCCAAAAATCCCGAATTAAGGTGATGCGTGAAGTGGTGGGGTCAGTACGCCCCTCCCACCCTCTCGAGGAGGGGTCTCGGTACAGCCCCCCCCCTTCCCCCAACACCGTACCTACCACTATTCTAGCAAGTCCCATCTCTCTAACCATCTATTCAACACCCGAAATTTTTCTCGTCGGGGGGGACAGGCAATATGAAACGGGAAAAACCGCGAGAAGTCAGCAAACGGGGAACATTTTTCCCAACGTCCCAAAGCGGCAACTTGTTCTGAAAGCCACATACTCTCCTCCTCCTCAACAACGTACTAAAGACACGGTTCCTTCACACAGCGGGCCAAAAGTACGACGCCCCTCATGTGTTTCAAGAACAACAATAGCGCGTACACTCTTTGTGGTCTTCAATTGTCATCGGCTTCGCTCCAGCGCCCAGATCACCACCTGAAGCTACCCACTATGAGTCACTTTAGCGGTGGCTGAGCGCGAACCAAGCGTTCATCTCAAGATGGTGATTAGATTATAGTGTGTGACTACGGACCTCCCTACATGCCTTTATTCTCTAGTGAACTGTTCTGAAGTTTGAAATGATTTTCAGCGGTGAATCACATTTCTCTTTGACTTTTCAGGTTTTGGCAAAGGCAGTGAGCCGAAACGTAACCCGGTTCAAGTTGCCTTAATATCTTGGCCGTGGTCTCAACATTCGCTGAAGTAGAAGACTCACACGAGGCTTAAGATTTCACAGAAGGTTTGCAGCGTGTATCGCTATAGTTTAATTCCGATCTTTAATTTTTGTGCTGTGAGATATTTTCTGTTAATTTTCTAGGTAACTTCAATGAGGAGAGCCCGCTCACCTGAGTTTGGCGCAACCCGTTTCGACACTTGAACAGCAATTTCTTTGCCGATACCTCGTGAGGCTCCTGATACTACGGTGAGCACACGTTTACCATTCAGTACCATACCGTCTGAATCAGGGCTTTTATGGCATTGGTTTATAAGCTGTTAAACGTAAAACAGCGAGTGGTCACGGAAAAATACGGTAATTGAGTTGTTTGTGACAAGTGTAAGAACCAAACAAAAAATCGGTATAAAAGAGATAGTGGTATCCGGGCTGTTAGCGCGAAAGTTCTCATCAGGAGCTAATTGATTAAAGGTGGAAGCACTGCAGTATGTTTAGTCATGTAGTTAGGAAATACTCTGCCAGTCTCTGCGCATGCCGCAGCGTGGACTTCTCGATCAGCTCCCCCTCTCACGATAGTACAGATCTGAACTATAAAAGCTTCGTGGTCGGAAACAGTGATAAGTAAATCTGCATGGTAAATAAATAATAAAGAGAAAAAATAAATAACTGAATAGATGAAGTGTTTTATAACAGGTGTAAACAAAGAACAGAAGATACGAAGAGAACTTTTCTAGAGTTTATATCCTTTCAATGTGAGGAACTGTGATGCTTTTGGAAAGATTCAAAACAACTGTGGTGGAATTTTGTGGTTATGATAACACCCGAGTGCTGGAAAGGAATTATTTTGGTGACGATAAGATAAGAGGAAGGGGCGCTTTTTGAAGGTTAGTTTTTAGGCAGTATGATTCTCAGAAGGAATAGTCAAGGCAGTGCTGGGAACCTCGGCTCATTTGGTGGGCTTTCAAATATTTCAACTGAAAACTACATTCAAAAGGCTTGCGAGAGCTATCTTGGAGATTCCAAATCGGAAGTTATGTAAAACGCTGGGAAGCGCTTCGTAAAGAACGTCACTTAATGATGAAGTCTTGAAGCTTTCAGCGCTAAGCAACCTTGGGCCACGCGCACACTTCATATTTTCAGGGGCGTTCTCGACGGAAGAATGGCTTTGGGCGGATAGTAGAGCGGCCAATTATACGTGGATCAGTGTCCTTTTCCTCCCTGGAGAACCCTGGTACCCATTTTTGCCGGTCCTAAAAAGGAAACATTGGTTGGAGTGGGCGGAAGCTGATTCGCCCTTTGTCTACTGTACGACCGCGCGCTCTGTAATTGGGTTACTTGTTACTATATCACCTTCACCCACCCACGTGATGGAAGCCCAATAATGGGCGAAAATCGGAAATCGGAACCGTGCTCATAGATGACCTATTTCCTTACGAGAACAGATCAGCGGGAAGCATAGTTTTCTATGATTCTGAGAATCCCATAGTTGTGCTCACGTTATCGTTCCAATGAGAACACCCTCACTTTTACATAGAGGCGCTGTTTGGGTTGGGGGCATTTTGTACCATCACTGCTCTACTAGTTCCAGTTCACAAGTTCCGCTCAGGTGAAACATGTGAACTATTGTGGAGCTGGAGGCTGCAAGCTCGTCTAGCCACCATAGTAAACCCCTCCAACTCTTGTCTTGCTCGTGAAAGAGCAGCCTAGATGGCTCGGAGTGCAAAATGCCCCCCCTCCCCCGCGTCGAAGAACTGCGCCTCATATGGGTGCTAATAACCTTGGGAGCAGGGGTGAACTAGAGGACTCGATACTGTGTGAAAGGATCCCGAAGTGCAAATACTTTCGTAAGGCTGATTCAAAAAACACTCAGGAGCTACGGAAAAAAGATTATCAAAAGAAAGGGGAAAATTGGAGAACTGAAGTAAGAGGGATTCGGGTGAGAACCCGGAACAATCGAACATTCGCAAGTTATAAAAAATCGTTAACTTGATATAAATAAGCTACAAAATGAAAAGTCCATAAGTATTTCCAGTACTTTCTCTGAATCACGGAGGTTGGAAGGGAAGAATTATCATTCACTCCCGTTCACTAATCCAATCAAGAAGTAGTGCTCTTTTGAAGTGATTATCTATCAAGGAAGAGGTTATCAGTGGTAACATTGCAAACAAAGACAAGTACACTAAAGGCTACCGAATATCTCTTTGATTCCGCAGGAACCGGGGTGGGGGTATTCGATTGACCAGCGGATATTTTCCCATAAGTCGTGGGTATCTGCGCAATTTGGAGCGAGTATACTGGAGTGTGCTCAAGTAAAATAATCATAAAGTCCTCATGGTTAGGATCAGCAGGTTCCTTGGAACGGAAGCCAGAAACGGTAATAAAACCATTGGTCTTTTGGGCTGTAGTTTTCTACCCATATCCAATGGCCTTCTTCAAATGGTCGGGGTAATGGGTAAATTAATGAACGTAACCCTGAAGTATTGATCGACATCAAGCGCTTGTTGCTTTACTGCAGTAAGTTATATAACAGGTAACAGTATGTAGAAAGGGAATCCCTGTTTAATAGGCAGACCATGGAATATTTTCTCATAAAAATGATCCCTAGTTTTGCAGTGTTCAGTTTCATACCAAAACGTATGTGATGATCGGGCTGAGTAAGGGTGGTATTGTTTCTCAGGAAAAAAGGTCTGGCAAAATCCATTGTCGAGGAATGTTTTGGATAAAATCTAGCCAAATTCTCACAAGGCGAAGCTTATAGAGGGCTAAGCGCCAGGAATGCAATGAACTGGAAATTACAGTTTCTAGGAGACATTACATGAAAAAAAGACTGAACTCTTCTGAAAACTCGATTACTTGGCTGCCTAATTCTTACCCAGCTGGTAGTAGGCTCAGAAGCTCGGGACACATGGAGCCACAGCTGTCTGAGCTGTTGTCCTTTAAGTCCAAGCCATTTTTCATGTACGTACCACTATGCACTCTGTTCGGGAACAAAAATTAATAAATTGGAAGACTCAGTAAACGTTTTGAGGGCCAAGAAGTTTGCGAAATTTCTTAGATTCCGATAATTACCGACGAGGGAAGGGGGTCATCCTTTGTGTAAAGAAAAATAGGTCCTCAGGCACTCAAAACAAGGAAGCTAGAGGGCCGCTATTGCTTTACCAACGTCTCCATCAATTACTCTATACGCCATACGAACATTCTTCTGCCCTCTCCCCGATTCAGAAAATTACTTGAGATTTAAGCTTGACGATCTAACCGGTTGTGTATCGATATAATTCGTTGTGACATAATCGTGTTTCATATCTGAAATCACATTGGGAGAATTAATCAGCTGAAGCCCACAGAACACAGTCTCGGTAAGAGTTCTCAGATGGACAGCCTGCATGGCGTGGCCGTACGGCCTGCCGAAAGGGCGAAGGGCTGGAGACCATCAAATGATCACAAACTCCTCGCTCCCACACATTTTCGGGTAACGAAACTGATACACTTGCGACTGCGGATCTGCAGACGACGGAAGACTTCTTCCCTAAAGGAATCATTCAGCTCCCTTTTAAGTGATTGGGAGTGGATGGGCAATAAGCAGTGACGCGAGTGATGGCTCGGTGAAAGAGTGCAATAATAGGTATCAGTGCCAAAAAACGAGAGAGAGATAAGCTAGCTAATTGTAAGCTAGATAAGAGATAAGCTAGGCACTCTGTTTCTATTCAAAATAGCAAAAAAAGGGGATTGTTCCCTTAAAAGAGAATAGATAGACCACTTTTTCTTTTTCTTTTTTTTTTGCTTTCGGCGCTCAGGGATCCTTGGTGATAAATGGACTTCTTGCCTGGCCTTTTGAAGGAATTGTGAGCTTCATCAGTGAGGATGTGACGTCAGTTTAGTATTGCACTTAGAAGTGCATAGCAGTCGAAAAGTTCATAGACACGTAGGAGGGGGAGGGAGTTGAAAAGCAAAAGGGTGTGTTAACTGAGTCAATAGTAAGAGCAGAGGAAATCGTTGAAATCACCCTGAATAAGGCCTTCCTTGTTGTAAGCGAGAGGTGAGATTTTCAAGGAAAGGACTAGAAAAGGAGCACGCAAAGGAGCGAAGCGACTCGTGGGGAGCCAAGCAAAAGCACTTTCCGCTTTGAACATATGAGCGAGTCACTTTGAGTTCACTTCCTAGGAAATGGAGAGGGTGTGCCAGTGAGGAGGCGCACTGGCAGCGAAGTGTCACGTCCGATATTGATCGCGCTGAATGCTTTAATGCCTACCATGGCCCTTGGTTCCTCCCAGCTCACAAGTTTTGAGACGCTACTCTAAGCTTTGTAACTTCTTTGATCTTATAAGCACTGGGCGAAAGTGAACCTTCAATTCCAGAGGATACAATTTTTTAAACGATTCTTCGTTGTTACTCGAAGGAAACGGAAGCGCTCTTCTAGTCACCTGGCAAAAAAAGAAGTGGAGTGGTCTTTCGGTGTGTTAAAAAATAAAGGTGTGAAGGATAACGGCGTGCAAGTGAACAAGCACTTGCACGCCGTTATCCTTCACACAAAGCCTGATGCTTGACGTTTCTACTAGTTCCACTGGGGAGGGATCTACGTATATAGTCCCCAAAAGAATGAGAGGAAAGTCGAAAATCCTATTAAGCGCGATTATTTATGAAGATTACGACCATGATTTAGCAGCAGCTGCCCTAGCTGTGAGCTACAGAAGGCGCAAAAGACCGCAAAAGATCAATCTGATAAGTGGAAATGAAGAAAATGCAAACTAGGGCTCTGTTCTTTTCTCAACGGTGGGGGGGGGCATTCGGCTGAGGCTAGGTCTTTTTCTTAGTTCTTGCTGACTGCAAGCTTTGTGAACCTGCGAAATGGTACAAGCGAATCACAGTGGTCACAAGAATTTATAAGTTCGTCTCTATAGCTTTGCTAATTTATAAGTTCGTCTCTATAGCTTTGCTAAGTACCATTTGGTGCCTCCACGAAACCGAAGTCCATCGATAAGGCCCCGAACTTGCGGAAGTGTCGGGAGGAGAATCAAAAACTGGTGGGCAGGTGGGGCATTGGTAGCTGTGAAAACTCGACTGCCAAGGCACGCGCCAAAAAAACTCATTCGAGAACCCAGATTTGGCAGTTGGAAGCAGTGCACGTCGTGCGTTAGGATTCCCACCAAAGGGGGGGGGGGGGCGGAGGAGAGGTTGTGGTAATTGCCCTTTTAAAACGTGTTTCGGTTGTTGACCTTTTTCTCGGTCTCGGTTCGTTTTTTACTGTTCCACATGCGCTATACCAGCCATCCCCTCCCGGGCTATGACTGTTTGGGGGGGGGGGATGAGAAACTGAATATTCGAAAAAAAGCTTCAGTAAAAGGTAGAAAGCTGAGAGAATCTAAGAAAATGGTAGGTAGGATGGGATGGGAAATGGGAGGCTGCTAG